CATCATCAGTTATCAGGAGAGCAGACAGTCAAAGTACAAGAATTCAAACAAACACAGAGATTCTACTTACAGAGCAGACACAGCACAGATGTTTCCTTCATCGTCGTTCTCACTCATTTGAGCTTTTTTTCATTTCTCTCACTGACACCAAGTAAAGCCCGCCCTCTTCCTCTGAGCACCAGCTTTCTATTGGTTCAAACACAGAGATGAGAACTATTTCCTTTCCATGTAGTGGACCTTATTGGTTCATTTGTGGGGCACTGGTGTGGGACTGACTTCTTTTCTTTGTGGAAAGTTATAAAGAATACAATTAAGAGAAAATATAAATATAATCCAGTACTTCTTTATTCATAAATTCATGTACATTCATGCACAGGTCCCAGTTTAGATCTGGGAGACAAACACCCTAGCTACTTTTAAGAATACGCTTAAAACTTCCCCTTTTGATAAAACCCACGATTAGGGTTGGTTCAGTTGACTCTGAATTCTTCCTTAGTTACTGCAACAGACTTAGGCTGTGTTTCTCCTTCTGTCATGTTTATTCACCTCTTTATTTAATCATCATTTACTATTTATCTCTTACTCTCTTCCACACCATGTTTTCTTTAATCTCACCCCAACCAATCAGGCTGCCCCTCCCTGAACCTGATTCTGCTGAAGGTTTCTTCCTGTCAAAAGGGAGTTTTTCTTTTCCACTGTTACCAAACTGCTTGCTCATAAGGGGTCATAAGGCTGTTGGGATAGTCTATTTTTTCTTTGTACTGTTGTACTTGAGGCAACTAACAACACACTATATATATTGTGTATATAAATAAAAATGAATTGAATTATGCATATCTCTAAAACCAGTGCCACTAGACAGCTTAGTGGTCTCTTGTCTTGAAAAGAAAGTGCATGCATGAGGTGGTGCATAAGGTGGTGCATGAGGTGGCAACAATAATTTCGCTCAAGTGAAGGAGTTTGGTCTGTGGTAGGGGAGGTTTCTTGTTTGTTGCTGCCTTTCACAGTCGCCTCAGGTTTTTGTGAATGTCAGGGGGCTGGGTCTGCATTTTGAGTGTATTTTGTATTTTTTGATCCCTCGTAATGTTAAGTTCAAGTGTATTATTAGTATGTCTTAGTTAGGTTTTGTTTAAAGTTTCATCCAAGCTCCCTTATTTATGTGTCGTATTCTGTTCTATCTGTATGATTTTTTGTTATGTCTGTGTCTCGTTCCCCTTAGCTGCTTTGATGTTCCTCTTGTTGTGTATCTTTTGGTCTCCCCAGGCTGACTAGCCAAACTTGCCAAACAGCAACTTGCCAGGGGGCTAGCCCAAAGCGCTTTACACATCCTTTGGGGTCCTTAGGGACTAGTAAAGCGCTATATAAATACAGATCATTTACATCCAGTCATCCACCCATTCACACACCTTTTCACACACTTGTGATGGCAAGCTACATTGTAGCCACAGCTGCCCTGGGGCGCA